GAATGATCAGTATACTGCTGTCTTACTCTAAAGTGATTCGTAACACCACTTTTTTTTATTTCTTTATGTTCATTCTCTTCATGAAATTAAAGGGAAATATGCAGGCTATATTAACCAAGATTGTTCCAATTTTCTCAATCATAATTTTAAAGACTATTCAGAACGTATTATTTTTATACCGGGCGATGAACTGTTTTTTTAATGTTAATGTATATGTATGACTGTATGTGAGGCTACATGTTTGGTGAGAGTCTGGCCACAGGCGGCGTCCTCTTGTTCTGGAATTAATTTACATGAATTAGTCAAACTCTTCTTTTTTATTGTTGCTGCTGTATTTTAATAATCACAGTGCAAGTGAGAAATATGTCCTAGTGGTCTCTCCTGGCCTCTATTATATATCACTGGCCATGTATTTTTCCCCCCAGCACATTTGTACTTGGGAGAGCAGGTTTTTATTCCTGTGTTAAAGTTAATGTGTCTGATTAAGTCAAATAAATCTTGCAAAACAGTTTTTTGTTTTTCTTAGAATTACTCATCAGCATTGAAACCTTGAAAATTTATTGTCCTCAATGAACGTGTTCTGGCGCTTTGTATTCCAATGAAATTGTGTCTTTGAGACTATAAATAAAGTTATGTAAAATCAGGTTTTGCGCAGGCGTAGATTATTGCTTAAGCGGAAGTGTTCAGAAAAAGGGAGAAGGATTATTTGACATCCTCCTTGAAATGTAACATTTCTTTATTCGAATACTTTGTTATACGACATCACGGAACAAAGACAGCAGTATTTGTAATCCGAACATGCCAAAGAATAAAGGTAAGGGAAATATAACCCCCTTTATTGTTTAGTCAGTTGTTAACGGAGCTGAATTTAGCCTAGCTCTCGCGCTAACCACCCGGCCTTTGCGAGCAATGCGGCGGCAACGTGACCAGCACAAGCGCTGCTTTCAGCCAAACCACGATGTAGTGTGATATCGAGGATGAAAAAAAATATTCAGAGGCCCAAGCTGAGCAAAAATATGCGATTTGGTGTAATACTGATAGCTTGTAATGTAATCACACAATGTCTTAGAAAGGTGATATTTAATTATTAATTTTATGATCAAAGCTCTGTAATTTTATTTTTATTGTGACGGCAAAATATAAAGTAATGCAATTAAATGACTGAGAGATGTACAAATAAACCCAATTTTGTAAAGGAAAAAAAAAAGTATGTGTGTGTTGTTTATTATTATTATTATTATTATTATTATTATTATTTAAAAGCCTGTAGCTGGATCATCAAGTAAACCTAAGTTGCTTCAGTCCAGTAAATGTTCATCAAACATAAAAGTTATTTGTGTTTAAGTTTTCATAGCAAAAAGACACATGTACCACAACCTGGAGGGGGGACATATTTAGAATTATACTAAAAGGCCTTTTACTAAAAAAAAGTATAAACTATCAATCAGAGGGCAAAAGGAATGCATCATTCTTGCATGAAATATGATACAGTAGGCTTTATAGAGTTAAAGTGAATATTTAGAGATAAATTTAATCCCTATCAGCCCCTATCCCTATATCCCCTTTACTACATGTACAGTGTGTCACGTGTCTGTAAATAGTTGTACAAGTGTCTATTGGAATCTTTTTCATTTGAATTTAATTTAATTGAAAATTTTGGATTGTAGCTTTTGGAAAATGTGATATCATGGACGAGAGAAGGAACTGAAATATATGGGAAGATTTAATATCTGTTTATTACATTCAAGATAATTAAGAGTCCTTATTTAATTTCTTTAGGTAAAGGAGGTAAAAATCGGCGGCGTGGTAAGAACGAGAACGAGTCGGAGAAGAGAGAGCTGGTTTTCAAGGACGATGGCCAGGGTAAGTAGTTGAAATAGTTTGGCCCTCCATATATGTGCAAATAAATGATGATTTTCACCACATCACTTTTGCACAATGGTTTGGGGTGTTTTTTATTTTATTTTATTAATATGTTTATTCAGCAAGGATGCATTAAATCAGTGGTTCTCAGTGGGCCTCACATTTTGTATGTCTGTCTTATCTAACACACCTATTACTTGAGCAGCAAATCAGCATATTAGAATGATTTCTGAAGGATCATGTGACACTGAAGACTGGAGTAATGACTGCTGAAAATTCAGCTTTTCCATAACAGAAATATATTACTTTTTAAAATATATTCAAATAGAAAACATTTACTTTAAATTGTAATAATATTACTGTTTCTGCTTTATTTTTGTTTTGGTTCTTCCAAAAACATTAAATATTATTGACCCCAAATGTTTGAACGGTAGTGTGTGTGTATGTGCGATGATGATGATCTTCAGTTATCCAAGACTTGACCTTGTCTTGTCTTGTGCTAGAATATGCTCAGGTGATAAAAATGCTGGGAAATGGACGGCTAGAGGCCATGTGCTTTGATGGGGTCAAGCGGCTCTGCCACATTCGAGGAAAGCTCCGGAAAAAGGTATGATAGTGTTGATTATAACCCTCATCTGTAGGTTTATGGATCTGAATGACTGTCATATTTCTATGGCTGTATGTTATTGATAATTTGATATAATTTCACTAATTTTATCTCTTATTTCTGCTTGCCTAGAAGACTTTTTTTTTTTTTTTACTTTTTTTCTCGCCCAATTAATAAACAGATTGTCATTCTCCTTTAGGTTTGGATCAACACATCTGACATAATCCTTGTTGGTCTTAGAGATTATCAGGTAGGATTTTTTTGGTAATTTATCAATTGTTGTTTTTTTTGTTTTAAATGAAAAGTTTTTGAATTTTTGAATGTGTTTGACAGGATACCAAAGCAGATGTCATTTTAAAGTACAATGCAGATGAGGCCCGCAGTCTTAAAGCCTACGGAGAGCTTCCAGAACACGGTGAGTCTCAAACTGGCCTTACTCAGTTTCTGACTTCTGTTTACTGGAAATGTTTTATGGAAATGTCATGGTACTAAAACAAATCACCCACAATTGTAAGTGTCAGATGATGTAGATGTATGCAAGTAAAGACTCTTATTTCTTTCCTGCAGCTAAAATCAATGAAACTGACACATTTGGACCTGGAGATGATGATGAGATTCAGTTTGATGATATTGGGGGTGATGATGAGGACATTGATGACGTAAGTGTTTGATTGTTTTGATAATGACTTTTTTTTTATATAAGTTACAAATATCGAAGTGCTGGAATCTATATCTATCTATATAATTTCTATTGCCTGTATAGTTATTTCTACTGTACTATAAAACTGATATACACTAATATTCAAAAGTTTGGGTGAATTAGTTTAGTTTTTTGTTTTTATTAATACTTCAAGAAATTAATACTTCTATTCAGCAAGGACACATTAAATTGCACAGTGACAGGAAAAAAATGTATAATGTTACAAAAGATTCCTACTTTATAAAATCCAGAAAAAAATTGATCACCGTTTTCACAAAAATATTAAGAGGCATAACTGCTTTCAGCGTTGATAATAAGAAGAAGAGGAAATGTTTTTTGAGCACCAAATCAGTATATTCGAATGATTTCTGAAGGATTATGTGACACTAAAAACTGGAGTAATGGCTGCTGAAAATTCGGTTTTAAAAAACTTACTTTAAATTGTAATAATATTGAGCAATATTACTGTTTTTACTGCATTTTTTTGATTAATTTAATGTAGCATTGTACAGCATAAGAGTCTTTGACAACATTAAGAAAAATGTAAAGTCTTATTGACCCCAAACCAATGGTAGTGAAGATATGCATTATTGATCTATTAAGCATAAGCAGTAACTTTAAGGAAACAGAATGTTTTAACTGTGTCTGACTGATCTGGTCCCCCAATCGTCTCTTTTAAGGTTAAAACAACATACTGAAGTGATTGGGAGAACCTATACCTTGATGTGTTTGTGTTCGTTTCTGTCCTCTCCAACAGATCTGAGTCAGGACTGCTGGTGGGTTATATTGTTTACACTGAGAGGAGAGAAAACTTCCTTGTTGGGGAAAAATTGCAACTTGGGCATAACTGGTCTACCTATCCTACTGCATACGGCCTTCAGAGAAACACTCAGGCTTATTGCTTATCTGTTTCTCTCTCCACCACGTAATTTCACTACAAGCCTTCTCTGAGCATTCTGTCACACAAATTGCTCTTTCACATTTAATGACAACCACACAAGATAGACTGCATAGTTTTGTTACGATTTTAAAGTATTTATATTGTATTCCACTGTATGTGGTGGAATTTAAAATGCAAAGAAATCCAGAATTTACAATAAAAGGTCGAGCCTTTTATCTGTTTGGACTGAATTTTTGTCCCCTCGGTTTGTACGGAATGGAAGTAGCAGTAACCTGTTTTGTCCACTAGTTGGCAGTGTTGCCTACTAGTTGGCAATTTCTTTGTTTCCTGATAATGAATTGTTTACAAACCATACATTCATAACCTTAGGTAGACGTTTCTGTCCTTGACCTTGAGGTGTACAAATTCTGGTTAAAAATGGTAATAGTCTCGATAAGTATTAGAGGTTTTCTAATTCTGTGTAGAATTTTTTTTTTTTAGACCTTAGTTTGGTCAGGCAGCAATGTTGTTTGGAGTCGATCTTATCTACTGTTGGACTCCCTGTCAGAGCATGTCGCTTTGTAAGAGAAGTCGTACTGACCCATTTCATTTGGACTCATTACTGCCAGTCCTGCTGCCCCTCTGGCTGTATCGGACTGTCACGTTTCATCACATCACATGGCCCTTCTCCACAGAGGAACCGGTTATTCACTACCCTTCGAGATCTAGCATTAACCTCAAACGTCCTTTCGAGATACCTGTGATGCAGTGTTTGGGTCACTGATTGCTCCCAAATGTTTCTTTGACCCATTTTTGAGCAATTTCGAAGTGTAAATTAGGCTTTTTACACTAAGAGTTAATTCTGGAAAACTGTTTCCTGTTTTACATTGTTCAAGAATCCTCGTTACAATTAAAATCCCAAAGTCGCCTTTTTTATTTGCATATTTATGAGGTCAGCGGGATTGAATATAGGCCTAGCTAGCGAGTGCACGCTACAAACTTGTCCATCTGGAAAAAATGTCGAATAGTCTGTTTTGGATGTTTTAAGTCCCCTAACAAAAATGTACGCAAAAAGCTAACCTTTTTGGTGTTACTGTTCATTTTCCGTTAACTCAGAAACTGAAACCGTGCGTGAAAGTTTCTGTGACTGTGCAGAGCGCGTGAATATGATAAAGCACTGAGACAATTTATGATTGGATTTTTTTTGCAAAACACGTCGATGTAACTATATATCAGCTATTTGCATATATATTTTTCAACATTGATAATATTTGTGGGCCACAAATCTCTCTCTCTCTCTAATACGTAATACATCAACGGAAACGTTATATTCAACGGAAATGAAAAGACCCTTTGTCGAAAATAGAAAGCCTTAACTTAAGCCTATACTGGATTTTAATTTCATATTTTTTTCCATAAATAATTGGTTCGCCTAAATGTGTACTTCGAAAAGTTTGGGTTGTGAACATGTGGACGTGGGCAGTCGTTTGTTTCTCCGCCGTCGTTTTCACCGCTGTGGATGACGTCACTCAGTGTTTCAGCACTACTGCGCTGTCCAGCCTCTCTATCTGGACTCGTCAACCGCTAGTGCTCTCTTTACCGGACAGCTGGTGAGAATACTCCTCCTGACCGCCGCGCGAGACTAACTTTCCTCACAATCGATTCGTCACTGCAAACCTAACAATCTGCGATAGCGCCACAGAGCGCATTCTGCTGAGATCGGGTCCCGGTAGCGCAGCGGCAGTCCAGGAAGGAGCTGGCTATGCTGTTTCTCTTGGCTTGAGTTTTTGGGGGGTAGCGTTTTGCTGCGGCGCTGTCCGTGACATTGCGGTTGGAAGAGCCGCCGGTGGACCACGAAGATGGCGGAGAACGCTGTCAACACCGCTGTCAGTACAACGACAGGTGAGCGACTTGCGCGAAGGTAGCATTCCGTTAATAATTCAGTAAACGTACCTGCGGTGTTTTGTTAGCTTTAGTATTGGATAGGACAATGACTTGCGCACACACTCATTTTTCCATGCTTATGATGCACAGTACCTTACAGTGGGGTGGTGAAGAACAATGATGTGCTCAGTCGATTAATTTCCTTCTCAAAAGCTTAAAGCTGCTGTCTGATCTGGCAGACAAAAACCGCTAAAAGCTCGCGATTTATCACGCGTTTACATCGTAACGGGCCTTCTGCACCTCGAGATCGGCTTTTCATTTATTACGCTTACTTTTTTAGTTTGGCCTGTCTGTTGCAGACTCTGTGCAGGGGTTTATTGTTTGTTCGTTCGCCAGTCGTCGTTAGATGGGACAAGTCCATTATTTCTACTGCGTTGTGTTTTCATGGCATGGGAGGTTCTCGAAAGATGACGGCGAGCACCGCCCAACACTATGAAGTCAAACTCTGATGAGATTAGAGCCGTTTAGACTAAACCACGTCCATTTGCCAAATTAATCGAATGGAAAATCAATGGAGTGAGCTACATTCGGCTCAGGAGCTGCCTCGGTGTGTGTGATATAAGCAGCATCTGCAGAACTGTGCCTGTCCTACTGCATGTTTCGTTTGTGCAAACCATACCTGTATTTTTGACACATTTTGACAGATCATTGTAGCACACATGCGTTTGACAAGTTTAGGATAAAATGTGTTTTTTAGTAGCGTAAATATTAAAATTATTCCTATATACAGGTGTGTGCGTGTGCAAATGAAATAGTATTTTTTTTTTTATTATTGTTGTTATTATTATTATTATTATTATTATTATATTTATAAATATAAACTAAATAAGCAAAGTAGGGTCAGCCTAAATATTATTTCGATTCCTAAATGATTTCCTTCAAGGTTTCCTTCCAGAGATACTCTAATATTTTTATTGATACCATTCTTACCGCTAATGTCCAAACCATTTATATAAAGCAGATATATAAGGATATTATATTATAAAGATATAATTATATAAAATTCATACCCAGAAATATTAGAATGGCAGAATCACTATAGACCCCTCACATCCAGCACACTCCCTCTTTGAACTGTTGCCATCTGGTCAACGCTACAGAGCTCTGAGCACCAGAACGGCCAGACACAGGAACAGTTTCTTCCCTCAGGCAATCCATCTCATGAACACTTGACAATAACTGTGGAACACACACTATTTATTCACTCATACACTTATTTATCTAACACACATACTCAGTCTACATTTCAATTTGCACATAATATACCTGTACATACAACTGTCTATTGTTCTATACCTGTACATACAATTGTCGATTTGTATATTTTTTATTCCTTATTTTACTTGTTCTAATTTTTTTTTAATTTTTTATTATTATCTGTGCTTTTTTTTTTCTGTCACTGTCATTCTGTTACACTGTGGAAGCTTCTGTCACGAAAACAAATTCCTCGTATGTGTAAACACCTGGCAATAAAGCTCATTCTGATTCTGATTCTGATTAAGAAATTTGATTAGCTGCTGTGATGATTGTTTCATTGGCATTTCAAATCACATCAGTACTTACACCTTTAGAGGATTGAAAATACATTGTATGTATTATTATTGTCAGGTGAGTTGTGGTACAGTATAAGAAGAGATCTATAGTGAAGCTACAGTGGGTGACATGGGCCTCAGTGGGGTCTTCTAACTGCAAGCGGCCTCAGGATGAGAAGACCTGGTAACCAAAAATAAGGCACTGCAAATGTTGATTTATGCAGACAGGTAGTGTTTGAATGTGAGCAGTTAAGATACCTACATCAGTTCAAGATTTCTCTCTCTCTCTCTCTCTCTCTGTATATACAGATATTGATATTTATTCATGGTCTTTTAGACGCTCAGAGAACCTAGAACAAAATCCACTGGAGTTTTCTGCATGAACGTGGCATGAGTATTTTTAGTTGTAGTGACACTATATGACATTGAGCTCAAACATACACCGTCAGCTTTATGTCCACTCTGCTTCTTATAGCAGAGCATGTGTGTGTATTGGGAATAGAGTTAGGGAAGCAGAGAGAAAGAAAAAGAGGAAAGAGACGGCAGACAAAGGACACCATCATGAGTGAGCAATTTATTTAAGACACGTCATGCAGAGGAAGGAAAGGAGGTTGGAAACTGAACTTAACTGAAATAAAAAGAACACCTGACAATGCATTTCCACAGCTCTGTCAAGAACCGTTTTTTAATAGTTTATTTTTAGAGATCACTTTGCCCTTCAAGGCACAAAATGCAAATTTGTTCTGTACTAATCTGCCTAATATATTGATTGTCAGTGGATTGTTTATTTCAGTGAGTGTTTGTGTTCTAGTGGGTGCAAATCAATGTGGATAAATTATATAATGTCTGACTCTATTATGTGTCTGTGTCTGTGAAATGACTGATTGAGCATATAGGTGAAGCAGAAGTAACTAGGCCATAGCTTCAGATTTATAATCCAGTCCAGAATGAATCAATGGTCTGTTCTTTGTCCTTGACAGAACAGAAATGAACACTTTGTTTACCTCAATTTGTTCAACAATAATTCTGTAATGCTCTGTTTTGTCTCTTTATATACTTATATGTGTGTGTGTGTGTGTGTCTTAATAACTCAGATACAATATCTCTAAGTAACAAGGCCAACTATGTATGTCAAGGTCTTCTCAACACCGAAGCTTGCCATTTCAACCAGTTTTTATCTCTGTTGGTGTGTTCCTTTTTCTCAGCAGTCACAAAAGTAATGACATCACCTTTAACTCCGGAAAAGAGAGCTCAAAGCAATGGCCATGCATCACCAACTTACCAGAAAACCAACCAAGGCAGCCCTTCTATAAAACACAGTAAGACCACCCTACATTAATGTGCAAAAACACATTTAATTAAAAAAAAAGTGTGTATACACACGCACACACACACACACATACATATACATATATATGTTCAGACAGTAGCAGATGGTTGGTTGGGGTGGCAGAGATGTTTGGAAATAGTATTTTTATTACATTCAACTATATTATATTATTGATTTAGGGTCAGATGTCATATTGTTGAAAAGGAGTTGATGGCAGAATTAACAATGGGTTCTAATGACTGAACTTTAAATTTCACTGACATATAATTTTCTCCTTCATCCTGTCTAAAGCTGATGCTCTGACCCCACCCACTGTCACAGAAAAGAAAACTCAAACCAACGGGCACGCTTCACCTTCACGCCATCCGGCCAATACCAACTCACATGCAGGTAAACAATGTAAGTCCCACCTTTTCTGTTGGTGTTGAGTAGATGCCTTCGATCTCATCTGATTATGTGTCTAAAAAACAGTTCAAACCTCAAGCAGTGTAAAAAAATGTCTAAAGAGATAAAGTGTGTTCCCTTGTTTTCATGTTTCCCTGTCTCTCTCTTAAAGATATGGAGGGCTATTTGAATACAGATGATAGAATGAGACTTGCCAAGGAGAGACGCGAGGAGAGGGAGAGGGGTTTGGGTAAGTATGTCTGTTCGTGTCTCTGAATGTGTGGGTGCTGTGAATTCAAATAAGTGACTCACAGGGGCGATTCTCAGATTTCTGAGGATTATGAGATGAAGGTTTAATATATGCATGTCAAATGCTTTTATTTAAATCAGCTTACATTGCATCAAAGGTCTATATTTTATCAGTCCATGCATTCTTGGAAATTGAACCTATGATCTTGGTATCACTAACGCCACACTTTACTGTTTGAATTACAGTAATGACCATAGTTTTTTAAATCAAAATTGCAATTGCTTGTCAATAAATGTACTGTATATCAGTAGTGGTGGTGCATTGCATGGCACATGATTTGGTGATTTCAAAGGATGCTAGATGCAGTGCAACTCAAGGGTCACAAAACAATTGTATACACAATGCTAATTGCCAAAGGTGCTGAAAACCTGTTTTGTCTAGTGTATATTTACATAGACATTCCCTGTGAGAACAGCCCCAAAATTGCTGAAGCTGTCAGAAACAATGTTGATGAGCTTTGAGTTTGATGATGTTGTTACATAAGTCAAAATAAAGTCAATAGTTTCTCTCTCTCAGCTGCACGGGAGCAAGCTATAAAGGAGAAAGAAAGGCGGGCACAACTGCAGTATGAGAAGACGGTGGAGGAGCGCTGGAAGCGGCTGGAGGAGCAGAGACAGAAGGAGGAGCTTCGCAGAGCAGCCGTGGAGGAGAAGAGAAGACAGCAGCTAGAGGAGGAGAAGGTCAGAGATCTATAGTCAAATGCACCTGTCTTAGGACTCAGTGTCCAAGCAAGGAGTCATGAAAGAGCAGATACTGATGCTATTCTTCCCTTGACTTTTCAAATGCTATTTTCTCATATGGCACTTATATGCCAGATGTGTTTAAACACAATTAGTTAATCATTCAGTCCAGCCAATAAATTGAAATATTCTTTGTAATTCATCTCCAATAGCTGTAGGGCATTTAGGCCTGTATTGTGAATACAATTAGGCCTGTATTTTGAATGAATTCATATGGTGCAATGCAAAACCATCTGAATCTATGAAAAAAAAGAATCACAATTTTTTGTGTTGTGTGAAATTACATTTTAAGCAATTGCACTGTATCTATGGCAATGAATTCCTGCCTCGCCATGTAATATCACCCACCCACAGGGCAGACACTATTCTTGTACACTCATTTATCTGTTATGAGCCTGTGAGTGTTTACTGGGTGCCGTGGCTTGTGATACTTCTCCAATCAGAGGGATTTGGCCGGATCAGATCAAACTTTATTTTAATCCTTGTCTCTTGCTGGGCTGTGGATTCATTATTCTTCTTAAACACGGCCTTCATCTGCCACACAGTCAGCTTTCACAACAATGTTCATTTTGGAAAGGCTGATCCCGAAAAGGAGTGGGCAAAGAACGAAAGAGGAACAAAGTGGCATGTGGGGGAGGTGATGCTGGACTCAACAAATGTTGCTGCAACCATTTTCATAGATGCAAAGCAAATACAAATAGAAGCTTAAATGAGATGTTAGTAGTTATTTGTAGACATTATAATCAATGTCGAACATTTGTGCTGCTTAATATTTTTGTGGAAACCTTTTTTTTTAGGATTCTTTGATTAATCAAAAGTTCAAAAGAACAAACTGAAATCTTTAGTAACATTATACATTTCTTTACTGCCACTTTTGATCAATTTAATGCGTACTTGGTGAATAAAAGTATTACTTTCTTTCAAGTAAGTAAGTAAATAAATAAATAAAATAAAAGTCTTGACCACAAACTTTTGAACAGTAGTGTACTATAAGCAATCACATGGAATTATGGGTGGCTTAGATGAAGATCCTTCTTTTTATCAGTGCATATATCTGCACCCATTGTGGTTGTACTGATGTTGTTGGTGTAAATGTCCACTGGTGAAGTGAGTGTCTGGTTTTTCCTGTGCTGGAACGGCACACACAGGAGCGTCTGGAAGCTCTAATGAGGAGATCACTGGAGCGTAGCTTGCAGCTGGAGAACAGGAATAAACGCTGGGCATGGGGACCCAACGGCACCACTCAAGGTGAGTGTAATGCACACACATCACACTGGATGAAGAAAAAGAGAGACTGGGAGGAGGGGAGTGAGCACTGATGGAGTGAGAATGGAAGTAAGGCACTACTGTGAGAAAATGTTTCATGATATGGTGGATTTTAACAGTCAACTTAGTTTCAACTCATGAAAATGCTTCTATGTTGCATTTTTCTAACTAAATTCAATTTAATTTATTCAGCATTTTTTCTTCTTCATCTTATGATTTTTTCATTATTTTAAAATGTACCTTACTGAATTCCTGCTTTATTTTATTTTCAGTTTTTGACAATGCAGTGAATGTTAAGAAGCCGTTGTAAAGCTGCTGTGACACTGCAGTGCAGTGTGTCCTTGCATTTTGTGTGATTTTCATCTGGGCTTTAGTACACAGTGTTACTAGAGCTCAGGTTTCATGCTTCAGCTCATCAGAGAGGAAGGACAGGCAGGCATGAGTGAATCAGCACTTTCTGCGTGCTGCACCTAGTCCTACTGGCTTGATTTAGATACAAGCACATTAATTGGTTAAGAAATTGGTTATTGATTTGGGGCCTTAGATTTAATCATTTAAGAAGCTAGTGAAGTTCAGAAGGAAGAAAGCTTGTTTGTGTAACATTTCTGAAGGCTTTTATTCAGCCAAGTCATTATAGATTGTAAAATCTGTAAAAAAAAAAAAATTAAGTTTATGCTTTTATCCACAGTGACTTTTAAATGTTTTGTATAGGCCCCTCAAAAATGTATTTTAAAAGAACTGTCGCATAGCGTGCGTGACGTTTCGAGCACGCAGGCTCTTCATCAGACAAAAACGTCTTGTCTCACTAGTTCTCACTAACTTCCATTGCTTGGATAAAAATGTAATGTAAAAAAAAAATACAATGTAATGGGAACCAAAAGTGATTATCAGCATTCATTAAAAAAATCACATGAGGGTGAGTAAATGATGACAGAAAGTAGTTTTTTGGGGGGTGGACCATCCCTTTTTACCCCAGAAATGTGAATGCTTATTGAGAGCACTCAGGTGATTTCAGTAGTAAAAGTGTGTTCTGATGATGATGCAGTGTGTGTATGTGAAGGATGCAGGTTTTGAGTTTGAGTGTCTGAAATTAGCTCAGCCCTGCTCATTGTGTCTGGCTGCCATGCTTAAGGAGCGCCAGAGGTTGTGGTGAACGTGTTTAAGTGTGTGTGCTTTGGTACACACGCCACCCCAAAAACACACACTTCACCTAAGAGTGCCCAGTCTGTCCATAACGCTCTGCTGTTTCTGCTGTGCTCTACCGTGACCCTATCGCCAAGGTGACTGGGAGAATGCCCCGCCTTCTCTCTCTGCTGCCTCTGCTCTCCCCCATGACCTCGCTGCCCCCTCTCCTGCTGCCATCGAATCAGGCAACGGTATGAACCCTAGCTGGCCTTTTCTCATCCCCTCTTCCCTCCTGTGCCTTCAGATTGACATCATTTTTGGTTTCCATCCCAAATACCAGCCTGCTCTCCTTCCCCTGTTCCTGCTTGAGCTAAGTGGAGTAAATGCTTGCATATCCAAATGTGACCCAGCTGCATGTAGGTCTCAAAAAGAGACTGTTCATAAATGCTATGTAAAATTAGCTGACTTGAAATTGTTTTTGATCAAGAGCCAGCAAGATAAGGGGATGAAAAGAGGAGGCTGCTTTCAAGTATAATAATGTCCAGTATTTGTTTTGCTGAGCAATTCACATGCTGCTATACCCATCTGAATGTACAGTGCCTTGCAGAAGTATTCAGACTAATCATACATTCTCTCAATCACTGAATTACAAATCCTTCATTGAAATTCAGTTTTATGCGATTTTCTTTTATTAAGCACTAAAAACTAATTAGTGGTGCTTGCTATGGCACATTCTGATGTTTTTTTTTATTTTTTATTTTTTTATTCTGACTGAAAATATTAGATTTTTGCTTGGCAGGTGATAAAACAGTCAAACATCAGCAAAATATTCCCATAGGCTTAAGGTGCAGACACATTTTCTATTGTTCAGCGAATTTTCACAGGCAAAATCCAGTCATTTCAGTAGGAATGCATGCAATCATGAGTTTAGTGTGAGTGTGAAAGATTTCCACTTGCAAAGAGTGAAAATTGGTCACACAGATTTACTGTGTCGAAGAACAGAAAGCTACATGGTTTGATAGTGACCTCTGTGTGAGCAGTGCTTCATATATCGCTACACTATTGACAATAGACAATTAACCTTTTTTGTCTGCAAAATTTTGCAAGTTTGATCACATTTTAAACTGAAGGATACCATATCTTGGGATAAGGTATCACACTTGGGGGTGGGTTCTGTTGACTTGGGCCAGTTCAGCCATATAGAAACCACCCAGAACACTCTAGAAACTGCATAGCAACATGCTAGCAACCACATAGCAACACCCTGGCAACCATTCAGAAAACCCTTGCATCAAGACAGAATATTTGCACAGGACAGAACCATTTGCAATGTAAAAATACCCATTAGTTAAACAGAAAATGGTGAAAAACATAGGCTAATTTCTGGTCTCAGTTCATCTGATAATCTGTGGCTCTATTTCATTATGGTGGTAAGCAATATAAATGTTTTGAAATAAAAACATCAGAGAATGGGAGAATTGTTATATTGTGAGTCTGAATTTAGTACGGCACTGTATATTCAATGTGCACTGATCTGTAGCTCAATACTTGGTTGGTGAAAGTCAAAGCAAATCTGAATGTCTGTGTGCTGCTGTCTTTTTGTGAGTTTTGTATTGATTGTGAGTGTACTTTTTTTTTACTTACAACTTCATGTGTGTGAACCAGTACTTGTTTGCAGTACCACCACAGCTATATGTTTTTTTTTTCAATATTGAATTGTGTGTGCATGTTTGTCTGCTCTTTGGTAGTTTTTCTTCCTAATTAGGTCTCAGCTGAATTGTTTGATTTATTTGAGAGTCATGGACACATTAACATAAGCACACACACACACACACAAACACACTGATCTATGCGTATATCACCCAGAACCCATTTCAAAACTCATAATTGGCCTTCATCATTATTTCTTCTTTATATCCTACTTAGGTTTGTTAGAAAAGAAAGATACAATATCTGCATTATTTTACTAAACTTAAAATGTTATATATTTTTTGTTTATTTAACTTAAATCAATAGTCACAAAATCAATAAGATGCTATTATCCCTTTATCATAAAGTTAAAATGTTTAATACATGTTAAAAAGGAGCTGTGGACACATTTTCCAAATTCATCCCTCCATCTTTCCATTCATATTAATGTTATGTCTGTTCCATCCATTCAATTCATCCTTTCCTTTTTTTCCCCTTAATTCTCTCCATCCCTCCATCCCTCTCTCTGTCAGCCCATCATGGCTATCTGAACTCTATGGACAAATTAAAAGTGAATCGCCTCCTCACACACACACACTCCTCACTGGCTCACTGTAACAGTGCTGCAGAGCTGCATCTGTCCTGTCTGCGCTGCAAAGGTAACACACACACACACCCACCCACACACTCAGCCTGCAACAGGTGTATTATCTTATTAAAGCTTCACTCAGGAGCTGAATTACATCACTGAACATTTGTGCCACTGAATAAAGTTTTTGTTTGTTTTGTTTTAGATAACCAAAGAGTATGTGTGTAAATGTGGCTTGCTAATTGTTTAATGTCATTTTTAAACTGTGTAGCCACAAGTGGTAATATTGAGAGATCTGTTCTGACCAGGAAATGCTCCTCTGTCTCTCCCATGCAGTGCCCTCCAGTCCTCACAGAGGGTCACCAAGTCGAAGAAGAAACAATCCTGTGCCAACAGAAGAATCCAGTGGAACTCTCAGTGCCCCCAACACCCCCAAGGTCAGGACAGATCTATAACAAACTCAAAAGCACACCTCTTCTGTTCATAGAGGTACAAGACAAAAGTTTTCAGTAAAGTAGGCTACATACTGAGAGTGTCATTTTAGTTGTACAGTCCACACAGACATGCAGAAGCAAACAAACACTTGTATCCCTCTGTGGTATATGGTATGGATTATGTTCTATTTTTTTAGTTTATATATTTTTCTGTTTAACATTTTAAAATAGCTTTAATAACAATTTTGAAAACCAATGGTATCCAGGTAGTATCCTTTTTTTAAGCTTTTTGTTTTCTTAGTTATCAGCAACTCCTCTAAATAAATAAATTTTTATTCATGAAAATTGCCATATGGCAGTATTTTCTCAATATTTTATAAAACTACATTTTTATTTAAAGTAATGGATATGTTCAACAAGGATGCATTCAACTGATCAAAAGTGACAGTAAAGACATTCATAATGTTACAAAATATTTATATTTCAAACAAATGCTATTCTTTTTAAGTTTCTATTCATCAAATAATCCTGAAAAAATGTAGCATGGTTTCCACAAAAATATTAAGCACAACTGTTTTATTATAATAAGAAATCTATGATAATATGAAATGTTTCTTGAGCACCAAATCAGCACATTAGAATGATTTCTGAAGGATTATGTGACACCGAAGACTGGAGCAATGCCTACTGAAAAATTCAGCTTTGCCATCAAAGGAATAGAATATTTTATAATATTTCTGCGAAGGAAAGAAAGGAAGGAAGCTGTTATGTTGCCATGTGGCAGCATTATGTGTTATTTGTGTTTGTTGCAGAAGGAGAGATTGCGTAGAGAGAGGAGGACTGGCTCTCCGGCCACAGGTTCACCGGTTAGGCGAGCTAAATCTCCTGCTGATGTTACCCGGCGCTCTGCCTCACCTGCCACACCCAAGTAAGATAGAGACACACTTACCTATATATATATATATATATTATTTTCAATATATACATAAGATGCTGACATAAGTGACCTCCGATTAATTACATTTTGTTTGATTCAGTAATGTGCTGACGCATCTGAATAAGCTCTCTTTTTGTATGCTTTGAAGGTTATTGCCTAAGAGTCGTACTCAGTCACCCTGTACAGTGCGGCAGTATCCACCTTCCCCTATGAAACACAGACCCGCCACACCGGTCAGTGACAGCAACAGGAAGACAGAAGACAAGCAAGCTGAAATTGTCAAAAGTCAGGATCCGAAGGTGGGCAGGTCTCTCAAGGCTGAGATCCATCAGAACAAGAGCCCTAACAATGAAAGTTTGGATAAGGCACCAAAAATGGAGACAACGGTTTCCAGCACACCACCTCCAGAAAGAAGAACAATAAAGATAGAAAATCACATTAATGGGTCAAAGGAGAAGAAAAGTGTAGTTTTGGAAAGCCAACAGAAAAATAATGAAAAGCTGGAGACCCCTGAGAAAAAACATCCCAAATCAAACTGTAATGATGTGACTGCAAACAAGTGTGCAGGTGGGTCTGAAACCTGTAATACAGTATGAACCTTCTCAAGCCATTTTGCGGCCTTTCAAATATAGCTTATTGATCATATTTTTAATGTGTTACTGTCTTATCTTTTGGTTTACATCAAATAAATTCAGCTCAAATTATTCATACCACTTACAAAATATAACAAGTAACGTACAATTAAAAGAAAATAATGAAGACGTTTAAAGGGGCCATATGATGTTGCTAAAAAGAACATTATTTTGTGTATTTGGTGTAATGAAATGTGTTTATGCGGTTTAAGGTTAAAAAAACACATTATTTTCCACATACTGTACATTATTGTTTCTCCTCTATGCCCCGCCTTTCTGAAACGCGACGATTTTTACAAAGCTCATCGTTCTGAAAAACGAGGTGTGCTCTGATTGGCCAGCTATCCAGTGCGTTGTGATTGGCCGAATACCTGAAGCGTGTGACAGAAATGTTACGCCCCTTACCATACTGTGATGCCCTGTCCGGCCGGAGTGACGAGACAAAAACATTAAAACCCATTATAAACTAAACCATTATATTTGTTGCATCCAGTGGGGACATAATTACGGATTATAATGACTTGTATTGTCTTTTTACGCTTTGCATTGCATCGCGCCACGTAAACATAAAACCATGTCTGCATTTGTGATCGGAGAAATGACAAACAACAAGCGCTACTCAACACTGCTCAAAACTCGCGTTTGAATCATCAGTGGCAAATCCTTTAAATGAAAATGAAACACACGGCGGGCTAGAGTGAGCGGCGACGGGCGGGCGGGCTTGAGAACGGCGCGGCCGGCAGATTCGACGAAGGGGAAGACCAAACAAAGTAGTTTCACTTTTACAATGAAGCACACAGCGCCTTCACGACATGGCAGCGGCAACAAGAATACTACAGTGAGAATAAAAGTTACGCCTTCTTTCTTGCATGAACATTTGGGCGGCGTTATGCAAATCTTCCCACATAGTGACGTAGACATGTGGGGGCGTGTTAGAACGAGCCGTTTTAGGTAGGTGTGGCTGACTCTTAACTTTTATAAAGAATATCTCTTTGGATTTGAGACTTTAGTCTTTGCAGCTTTACAGATCTTCTTTATGCACCAAGAGCTTGTAAAAATCCAAAGAGAAAGGAAAAATTGAAATCGCATCATATTGACCCCTTTAAGATGATTAAGAGGCTAATAAAAAAATCAAGTTCCAAATAAAAAAAAAAAATAATTAAACATAATGTAGTATAACTTTCATTTGTAATGCATTTAGTTCACTGGATTAACAAAAAAAAAAATATATATTATTATGTGATGTAATATATGTAACATTTTTGAATTAGATATATTCAATATATATCATGATATACATTGGTGCTGTGACATAAATTGACTCCGTGATATAAGATGTTGGTCATATTGTATACCTTGTATACTTAGCCTTATTAGTATAAAAGAATTACTATATAAATTAGGCCCTTGAGACTAAACGGATCCTGCTTTGTGGTCCTTGAGCATTCCAAAGTTTTTAAAAACTTGTTTAAACTAATTTTAACTGCAGTGACATTCATCATTTGTATGCTCTTCTCATTCACAGCAGCTTCAAATTGTGAAAATGATTTACACTTGCTTATCTCTTTTTACTCTCTCACAGATCCTTCACCTGTGAACTCTCCTGGCAGGGTGGTTGCTGGAACGACAGATGCTGAGGAGGCGTCTCGTCTGCTTGCAGAACGCAGGCGTCTGGCAAGAGTGCTGAAGGAACAGGAGGAGAAACAACGCAGGGAATTGGAGGAGCAGGAAAAGTATGCGTGTGTATGACTGACAATGTATTTCTCTGAACTAGTGTACAAAGTGTTCAGTGCTTGCTGTGAACGTGACTCAGACATTTATAATGAGTATGCGTCACATAACTGTGTTAACATTTTGTGGGTGCTGGATAAAAGGCGCTAGGGTGACGTTTCCTCATGAGACTGTGTTGGTCTGTGTGTGATTTTCAGACTAAAGAGTGAGAGGCTTAAGAAGAGGCAGCTGGAGGAAAGAGCTCGACAAGAAGAGAAGGCTCGTCAAGCTGAGGAGGAGAAATGTAGACATGAGCAGGAACGGAAGAAGAGAGAGCAGGAGGAGAAAAAACATAAGGAGAAGGAGCTTCAGGCCCAGATGGAGAAAGAGGTCAGAAGATCAGTCTGTCTGTCATTCTGTCGTTCCTCTCTGATCTTCTGTCTGTAGACTCCTAGCCTTCAGTTGTGTCTGTGTTTAATAGAAAGAGGAGGCAGAGATTCGTGCTCAGAAGGATGCTAAGCGTCAGCGGCAGGAGAGAGAGATTTTCAAACAGCAGGAGGAACAGGAAAGACAACAACGAAAAAAGGTAGTACGACCAGCAGCAAGCCACAGTAAGCAACTTTGCACAGATCAGCTGTATACTACACTACATAGTAGAAGAGCAGAAGTAGGACATGCAGTGGAGCAAAAGATTATACCATTTAGGCAAATTTTATCTAACTGTAAACTTCAAACCTCACTGACCACTTCATTGTAATCACTACTTTGTAAGGGCCGGGCATAAAGTTAATAAATATGGAAAAATATGTGATAGTGCTATCAATTAAAGAGAAAATTCTGTCATTATTTACTCATGTCTTTCCAAACCCAAAGGAATCATTCAATTCGTCTCCGGAATATAAATGAAAATATTTTTAATGAAATCTGAGAGATTTCTATCCCTCTGTTCACCCAAAACTCTGATCATTCTAAACATTCATAAAGAGATCATAAAATAAATCCATATTAATCAAGTGGTTTAATTTATATATAAACACTGATCAGCAAACAGAAGCTCAAGCATACTTGAGATCAAACCGCATTGGTTCTTGTGGAAGCTCAAATGTGCTGGCGTGACACGTGAGAGTCAACCTCATTGGTTCTTGCCCATCAAGCAAGCATGCTGGAACTGACCAAATTTGAATGCTGTAAACATTGTTTGCTGATCAGTGTTTATATGTGAATAAAAGCCAAATATAAAACTGTTCATCATATAAAATGATTGTGTCTCTTCAGAAGACTTGGATTAAACTGCTCATTTGGATTTCTTTTACAATCTGTTTATGAATGTTTTGAAGCATCAGCGTGTTGGGTGAATAGACTTTCAATGTAGGGACAGAAATCTCACAAGTTTAATTGAAAATGCCTTTATATATATATTCTGAAAATGAACAAAAGTCTTATGAGACATGATGACAGAATTGTAATTTTTGGGTGAACTATCCCTTTAAATTTATTTAACACTTACCAGCTATAAACCTTACATTTCACATGGCGAAGAATAAAATTTTTTTTTTAAGTTACTTCATCCACTCTTACTTTTGAATCAACGTTAAAAAATGTGCATAGAAAAATACAGACTAAAATGTGTTTAAAATGTTCCTTGCAGAGAATTGAAGAAATAATGAAGAGAACCAGGAAGGGTGACGGCGAGATGAAGGTATCAGTAAGAAACAAACCATCCATCGCTTTAACTTTATAACTGTTTAGTGTCTTCAGTGAGTAGAATACAGTATGTGTACTACACTGTACAGTAGTAAAGCGTGACTTTCACAAAAAAAGTAATCAGTTAAATTAGGCAAAGCATTGTACAGTTGAGACAAATACCTACATGGATTACCGTCCATGTGGATGTGACGCAAATACCCCCTTTTTGTGTTAAGTAAAAAAAAGTAGAGCGGAAATGATTGCTCTGAAAGGTAAAGTAACAGAATGACCTGATATTCACACAGAGAGAGGACAGCCCAGAGCCTTTATCTCCTGTCTCCCACCCCATCTCTCCTCCAGGTAGGACTCAACCCTGCTCTCTCTCGCACTTACTATCACACACCAAACATGGTTGAAATCCATGTTAAAAACTACATTTTAAATTTTTATTGGGTGTTATTTTTCTGTGTCTATCCTTACAAATGATTCCCATGTGTGTAGGGTTGCTTATTTTTGTGAATGCATCTAAAAGTGTTCACTACTGCCAGTCATAGTCAGTTTCAGACTGTTCTCCCCTAGAGGCAAATGTGTATATACTGCTAATGTGTCAGCAGGCCTGCTGGTATTTTTCCATCGCTGCACTATCTACAGCAGCGGCAGGAGAGGGCAGCAGGGGATCGTATTCACTGTCATAGGTTGTGTTCTAGGTGATCTATTCAAAGACTGCACTGACTATATTTAGTCTGCCTGCTCTGCTTCACATTGCAGTAATTTGTGTGGTTTTTGACTGTATTAGGTGTTTTAGAAAGATGTGTTTGTGACATAATGCATGTAATGAATCATAATAAGAAAAATAACCAGTGTAGAAAGTGTTCAGTTCAGTTGTTGACCGTGACTCAGGTATTTATGAGCATGCGTTGCATAACAAATGTTAAATGTTTTGTAGTCTTGTGCTAGAAACTTTATAGTAAATCTGTGGGCATTTCTGTCAGTTTTGGATATATAATTAATATACACTATAAAACTTAGAAAGGATGCATTAAATTGAACAAAAGTGTCAGTAAAAACTTTTACATTTTTACAAAAATATATTTAAAATAAATATTATTATTTGAACTGTCCTTTCATCAAAGAACCATAAAAAAGTATATCATGGTTTCCACAAAAATATTAAGCAGCACAACTGTTCTTAACATTGATAATAAGAAATGTTTCTTCAGCACCAAATTAGCAAATTAGAATGATTTCTTAAGGGTAATATGACACTGAAGACTGGAGAAATGGCTGCTGAACATTTAGCTTTGCTATTACAGGACTAAATTACATTTTAAAATATATTAAAGAAAAAAGGTATTTTAAATTCACAATTTTTACTATATTTTCAATAAAGCCAAATACATGTAATATATCTGTGTTTTTTTCTCACCTCGCTTTAAAAAATGTGAGCCTTTGACATCTGTTAAAAATTTGCAGACTGATATCAATCTAAAAATATTATTCACTATTATAACAGTCTCCAACACATTTTTTTTTTTCAGGTGGTAACCATTTGACCTCAAGTTCTGAAGTCAAATCTCAGGCCAACCCCATTCAGACAACCTCTGTGCATGGCCAGATCGACAAACAGGAGAGTCCAGGGAAAAGACCAGAGAATGGATGTTCGAATGAACAGATGAAGTCACCTGCTCACATGCCCGCAAAAAATCCCTTCTTGAACGGCCAAGTGAACATTAACTCTACTGCAGTGAAAACAGAAGAGAAAGGAAAGGTAAGTGAAGAGAATGCCAAGACTATTAGACAAGAGAGCGAGCAGGTAAAGCCACAAAGTTTACAAGTGAAGGAAGAGATAAAGCGAGAAGACACATCAGCAGCAAAGGTGCAGGTAACCCCGCTGAAGAGCTCGCCTGAAAACACAGTAGCAAATATTAAGAGTATTGTGATGACAGACAGTAAACCCCAAGTTTACACCCAAGTGAAAGTACCTACAAATATTCCCACTCATGAATTACAGGAAAACTACCTGGCCAATGGAAAATGCCAAACTATCACTCAGGTGGCCAAACAAGAGGCCAGTAACCAAGTGAAAACAGCTGATCCTGTACAAATGAATGGGCAGGCCACAGCTCAGGGACCCAGGAAGGATATCACTGGGAAGAAATCAGACATCCCCCATTCCAATGGACAGGGGAGTTCAACGGTAACTGTCCCACAAGCAAAGACTTTCACTCAGGCCGGTAGACATACGATAACACAGGTGAAATCAAAGGAGGGAGGGAATGACAACCTACCCTCTTCATTTACCTCCTTGCAAGAGTCAAAACCCCCTCTGCCTCTTATTCGTCTGGACACTTTGGAGGGGAAGAGTGGAGCGGCAGAGGACTCTGCAGATGAAGTGCAGTACATGGAGGTTAGGTGAGTTTGACACAGTGACTGTGTCAACATATCCTGTACACTGGACTGCCCTACACTGACCAGGTAGGAACTGCATCACAGTAAAACAAAAGGTTATATAAAAAAAAAAAAAAAAATAGAATAAAATGCATTTATGATTTTTACACAGACTAATACTTGATCTGCAGCAATCTATCATCTCCTTAATTGTTATATGTAATGTAATCATTACTGAGACCTGATTTGTAGGCAGACTTTGAACAAGATGGTATATATACAGTATCTTTCAAAATCGATGAAGAAAAGCAGAAAAAAGACAAACAAATGAAAATGTTAAAAAACAAACAGTTGTAAATGTAAATAAAATAAGAATATGTAGATATATATTACACGATATATTATATTACACAGTAAATATAAAATACAATTTAAATTCATATAAACGAATAGGCCTATATAAATTCCATATTAAATTTTAAGAAAATATTTAGCCATTTTAAAAACATTCTTCATTGTAAAAATATATTTCATGACATGTACATTTTTGTATATTTGGTATCTTCGGTATACAATTCATTATTCTGAACAGATATTGCCCAATTATCAACATTTGGGGAATATGAGGCCCAACTACAGTAACTCATATTTACTGGGAATATTGTGGTCTTCTTTGTTTTTTTTTTCTATTCTCAGCCCTGTTTCGAGGGAGGAGTTAATTTCCATCCCAGAATTCTCCCCAGTGAACTCTCCGCAGCAGAATGGAATGAATAACATGCGTGCTCTAGAGGACCTGTTGGATCTGACAGGACAAGTAGCTTATCCCAGACTCTCTCCTGCTGCTAGCTTGGGTGACTGCAACAAGAATCTAATAGAAGGGGTCTGTAGCCCTGGATCCGATTCTAAACTCATCCCTCCATCCTCTGACAAACACCATGTACAATAAGGTACAAAGTCGGTTGAACATAATTTGTATACTTTTGCATGCAAATAGATAGTAAGCAGTAACAGATCTACACTACCATTCGAAAGTCTGGAGTCGGTATGACTTTTACAGACTATTTATTGACTATTATCAATGTTGAAAACAGTTGTGCTTCTCAAAATATTAGTTTTTTCAGGATTCTTTGATGAATAGAATGTTCAAAAGAACAGCATTTTTGTATCAATGTCAATATCTCTAATGTTACTTTTGATCAATTTAATCATCCTTTCTGCATAAAGGTATTAATTTCTTTAATAAAAAAATTTACTGATTCCAAAGTTTTGAGCTATAGTGTATATAAAGTTCCTCACAATTCTTGACTGGTAAGTTCCAGTTAGATAAACATGTTTTGTTCATATTTTCATATAGATTTGTCATCATAAACATGATATATTTCTGTTCATTTACCAGGTAATGTGACAGACTACATTGGTGCAGCTGACTGCAATGGGATAACTACTCATCTCTTTTGACAAAAAAGGAAAGAAACACTGCTGGGCATGAGTGTGAAATTTGTCCGTCTAGTTTCAATGTTGTCCTCATTAAAAATGAAGTCCTTCTGCCTGTAATCTTTACAGCACAAAAACCAATGTGTATTGAAGCTGTGGTTCGATATTATGGACAGAATTTAATTCATGTGTGAAATGTTCACTAGACGTGTGTGTTGTGTGTATGTTTATATACGTACAGATGTGGATGGCCAAAATTGCTGGTAAGAGGGTTTGGACATGAAGGTATCTTATGCCAGAGTTCAACATTTTCCAATGACATCGTCATCACTGGATAGAGACAGAACACTGATTGGTTACTCTTATATTTCAGGAAGCATAACTGTATGAAGTATGAAATAGTGTGAAATAATAACTCTTTGTAGTTAGAAATACATGATAGAAAGGTTTCTTTGCAAGTCGATTCTCTCTCTCATTTGTAACAGTATTATTATAAACTGTTTTGTTGAGTAATTGCTGTGTATTTTAAGCTCAACTAACATTTCCTGCATTGCATCACTGTATTGAACCCCTAATTTTGCTATTAAATGCTTGTTCCGCAGGACATTAGCACATTAGAGAAATATGACCATCAGTGAATACAGCATGTATATTATAAAGAATTAAAGGCGGTAAGCCCATTTTAAAGCCCTAGTTTACCAGTAATTAACTCAATATTAGTGTCACATTATTTTTCCGGTGTCATCACTGTGCTTAACAGTGTAGTTTCAGTCTCAGAAGTTCTTGACAAATGTAAACCAGTTATATTGTGAGTCCTGACTTTATTCCTTAACATTGAAGAAAGATTCAAGATTTGTGGTCCAAAGATTGTGGTCCAAACCAAAAACCCATTGGTGTGATAGTCTATGGGTGTTGCAGGTGTACATGTTAGGAGTGGGTGGGTATGAGAGTTGACGGCTTTGTGGTTTAATTGTTCTATATAGTGTGGATGCACAAAAAAAGCTTACTTGAAAAACTGTTTAATTAGCCTGCAGGGAACTTCTGAACTTCCCCAAGTGTCTCAGCTTCAATCTCTAAACACAGTACAGCAGTGAAGTTGTGATTACTGTAGATGATGTGCATGGTGGCATGAGCATCAAGCCATAATTATATGCCTAGAAATAAACCAATAAACTGTCTTTACAAGCTCATGGCTCCTGTGCTTGATAGAATTGTCTCTGAATTTAGTTCTAGCCGTCAATAAATTTTAATCCCAAGAATGAGTTTATATTAAAGAAATTAATAAAATAATTTATGCTCACTAATAATTCATCTGTAACGGCCTATCATCCCTGTTACTTTGTAATTCTGATCTTTGTTTTATCAAAACTAATTCTGATCTCATGTTATGTAATAAATACAATGATAAGAGTACCGTCTTTCAGTAATCTTACTGTAATGCACTTAAACTACTTCGGCAGAAAAGTATTTTGCAAGAAAACAAAGTATTTATAGACTGCATATACTACATCTGTGACACAGGGTCAGTTACCACAGAAAATAAAGTTAATGGGAAAAAAAACTTGGAACAGCTAAGGTTTGATATTCAGGAAATACAATTCTATAATGTAGATTCAAATCTGGAACGCAGAAAAATCATCCAGGAAACAAGCTACGAAACCTCTGAAAATGTATTTATTTTTTCTCCACAATTATTGTATATGTCAGACTATGATAATTTGAAGAGTTTGAAACAAAGTTCCTGCGGGAGCAGGAACTGCTGCGGCAGTGGGGAAATATGGAAAAGCTCCTGCGGGAGCGGGCACTGCTGCGGCAGTGTGGGAATTTATGTATGGCTCCTGCGGGAGTGGGTGCTGCTGGGATGGCTGGAGTGGGGATGGGTCGTTATAGATGGATTAGGTGATGAAAAAGGGGGTCAACTATGGTGGGTCTGAAGTTTGAGTGACCGGGGCTATACTGACATCAAAGGGGTTGGCCGATGAGGGTTCGGTGGGCTTCCTTGATGTGGGAGCGGTCCGATCGAATGTAGCTCTTGAAAGCTTCTGACGACCAGCGACCGAGTGCTTGTATCTGCTGCTGGGAGAGGCCTTTTTGGGCCGCTGTGGTTGCTGCGCCAATTCGGAATGAATGGCTGGAAAAATTATCAGCTGGGGTACCGGATAGGAGTAGAATGGATTTAAGGTGCTTTTGAAACCAGAAACGAGTGACGGGGCGGTTGGAGTCGTCTGTAAAAAGGGGGTCGGATGGGAGTTTGGACTGTGATTTCCTGAGCTGGACAAAGGCTAGGAGGGCTTGGTATGGTAGTATGGGTGATTGTAGGTTGAAAATAAAAATGAAATGGCCTTTCTTGGTCTGGTCTGTTTTACTTTGCTTAATGAAGTAAGAGATGGTTTCGTCATCCAGCACTGCTAGATCGGAGAAAGTGGGGTGGATGTTTGGATTGAAGCTAGATGTGATAGCGAGCTCAGAGCATCTGAGAAAACCGAAGAAAGCCAGGATGAACATGGCATCAAGCGTGCGGGCGGTGTGAATGGAATGATAACCTCTGCGGAGGGTAGAAATACATTTGGTCAATATTTGTAAGGTTATGGGTTGCCTGGTGTCTGGACGGATGGGATGGGCTCTTTGGATACCTTTGATGAGTAGGGAGGTCTGAGAATTGGCTATCTGGGGTGAGGGTGAACCGTATAAGAGCTTGTGGAAAAATTGGATTCCACTTAGATAACTCTTAATGGAGCTGATTTGTAGGTTTTTGCTGTAAGACTAGAGATAATGAAGGTAAGGCTGCTTTGATTATTTATAGAGGTTCTCTCTTGTGCTGATTGGATAGATGGTGTAATTACTGATGATGGACTGGCTGTGTTAATTATCTGCGCGTGCTCCTCCTGAAATTTGTTAATAAAACATCACATAGTTGTGCACGTTTTAATTTCCCTATTGGCTAAGTTGCCTGTACAACTGAATAATCAAGAGCTGGATCTCAGCATCACCAGTATTAATGTCTATGGCCTTTAGAAAGAAATCCAGAGCCTCTTGCTTCCTCCCTTCTGCCAAACACTGTTTCCCAGACAGGACCAGCATCTCATACGTGTTCTCAGAGGGTTTAGCAGCAGTCACATCACTGCTTGTGGAACTAACAGGAAGAATGTGTGTTTCCGGAGGGAATGTTTTAGGGGCACACTGGTCCATCATTTCATTGGAGTCTAGTTCAACATCAGCAGTGGATTCAAGCAGGGCGCTGTGCCATTCTTCTTCCTCCTGGTATCTTCTTGAATCTACACTTTCTTCCACCTCTTCAAGCCCCTCGTGACTTTCGGACTCTTCTGAGTTGAAAGTTTCTCCACTGGGTTCCTCTTCTTCCACCACCGACTCATCAGCTTGTGATTCACTGGCTTCATATATTTGATAGGATTCGGTTTTATCTCCATTGGGTTCCTCTTCTTCCACTGCTGATTCATCTGCATGATTTTCACTGGCTTGAGAGGTCTCATAGGATTTGGTTTTGCCTCCACTGGGCTCCTCCTCCTCCACCACAGATTCATCTGCGTGAGTTTCACTGGCTTCAGAGGTCTCATAGAATTTGGTTTTGCCTCCACTGGGCTCCTCCTCTTCCACCACAGATTCATCTGCGTGAGTTTCACTGGCTTCAGAGGTCTCATAGGATTTGGTTTTGCCTCCACTGGGCTCCTCCTCCTCCACCACAGATTCATCTGCGTGAGTTTCAATGGCTTCAGATGTCTCATAGGATTTGGTTTTGCCTCCACTGGGCTCCTCCTCCTCCACCACAGATTCATCTGCGTGAGTTTCACTGGCTTCAGAGGTCTCATAGGATTTGGTTTTGCCTCCACTGGGTTCCTCTTCTTCCACCACCGACTCATCAGCTTGTGATTCACTGGCTTCAGATATTTGATAGGATTCAGTTTTATCTCCATTGGGTTCCTCTTCTTCCACTGCTGATTCATCTGCATGACTTTCACTGGCTTGAGAGGTCTCATAGGATTTGGTTTTGCCTCCACTGGGTTCCTCTTCTTCCACCACCGACTCATCAGCTTGTGATTCACTGGCTTCAGATATTTGATAGGATTCAGTTTTATCTCCATTGGGTTCCTCTTCTTCCACTGCTGATTCATCTGCATGACTTTCACTGGCTTGAGAGGTCTCATAGGATTTGGTTTTGCCTCCACTGGGCTCCTCCTCCTCCACCACAGATTCATCTGCGTGAGTTTCACTGGCTTCAGAGGTCTCATAGGATTTGGTTTTGCCTCCACTGGGCTCCTCCTCCTCCACCACAGATTCATCTGCGTGAGTTTCACTGGCTTCAGAGGTCTCATAGGATTTGGTTTTGCCTCCACTGGGTTCCTCTTCTTCCACCACCGACTCATCAGCTTGTGATTCACTGGCTTCAGATATTTGATAGGATTCAGTTTTATCTCCATTGGGTTCCTCTTCTTCCACTGCTGATTCATCTGCATGACTTTCACTGGCTTGAGAGGTCTCATAGGATTTGGTTTTGCCTCCACTGGGCTCCTCCTCCTCCACCATGGATTCATCTGCGTGAGTTTCACTGGCTTCAGAGGTCTCATAGAATTTGGTTTTGCCTCCACTGGGCTCCTCCTCCTCCACCACAGATTCATCTGCGTGAGTTTCACTGGCTTCAGATGTCTCATAGGATTTGGTTTTGCCTTCACTGGGCTCCTCTTCCTCCACCACAGATTCATCTGCGTGAGTTTCACTGGCTTCAGAGGTCTCATAGGATTTGGTTTTGCCTCCACTGGGTTCCTCTTCTTCCACCACCGACTCATCAGCTTGTGATTCACTGGCTTCAGATATTTGATAGGATTCAGTTTTATCTCCATTGGGTTCCTCTTCTTCCACTGCTGATTCATCTGCATGACTTTCACTGGCTTGAGAGGTCTCATAGGATTTGGTTTTGCCTCCACTGGGCTCCTCCTCCTCCACCACAGATTCATCTGCGTGAGTTTCACTGGCTTCAGAGGTCTCATAGGATTTGGTTTTGCCTCCACTGGGCTCCTCCTCCTCCACCACAGATTCATCTGCGTGAGTTTCACTGGCTTCAGAGGTCTCATAGGATTTGGTTTTGCCTCCACTGGGCTCCTCCTCCTCCACCACAGATTCATCTGCGTGAGTTTCACTGGCTTCAGATGTCTCATAGAAATTGGTTTTATTTTCGCTGGGCTCTTCTGACTCCTCATCAGACTCATTCTCCAGCATGGACACTATGAAGGACCTTCTTGATGCCACGGACGTGTTCAAGCTGCGCCGGAGTCGGCCGCCGTCAGTCAAAGTGGATTTCGGTGTTGAAGAGACCAGCCTGCTGAGGCCATCAGCCAATGGACTGCTTGTTAAACATGGCTTCTCCGACTCCTCCTCTTCTTCATCAGTATCAGAAATGATCTGCCTTTTCTTTCTCCGAACGGAATGCACAAAGGAGTCTTCCGCAGGTGTGTCTGGAGCAGAACGGATTCTCAGAAGAGATTCATGCTTGCTGACTTCACCAATGTTAGGGTTGAAGATCTCACTGTTGTTACAGTTACTGATTTCACCATTGCTTTGGTTACCATATTGTCTGCTTTCATGGATACTTGCTTCTTCCAGCCTTTCTCCACTGACATCCATCTGAAGCTGAAACTCAGGACTTTCCTTTGCTAGTGACTCCTCCACATCACAAACTTTCTCTTCTTCAACGGAGAACATATCTACACTGTCCTCCAGCTGCAAGTTGAAGTTTCCCTGAAGCATTTCCGCCTCTGCTTTAAAAGACTCTCCTGCTGTGGCCTCATGTGGAGATTGGGGTGACGAAAGCACCGTCGAATTGGGCTTGTCCACCTGAACCTCCTGGTTATCAAGGGCATCAGATGCTATTGAAAGTTCTTCCAACTTTGGAAAATGGCGAGAAGGACTTGGCAAGTCGTGCACAGAGTTTTGTTTCTCTGATGCACCATTATCATACAACTCGTTTTTCACTTGGTCTTCTTCATCTACAATTTGCACTTCTTTACTTACAATTTCCACCTCCGCGGCCTCAACTGTTGGAAAGTTCTGCTCCTCTTCCTCTAGGTCTGGCTCATCGAAGCAGTCGTATGTCAGATCCACTGTCACCGGCTTGTTTTTGTTACGTGGAGGGGCTGGGTGGTCTCTACTAGCAGATTTCGGCTGCCCTGTTTGCATGAGCCAAGCGGGTTCTGTGTTCTGGGACACGCTGTCCATAAGCTGGCCATGCAGTTCTGATTCCGCCTGCATAAGCTCTTGTGCTTTCTGGACACGTGTTTGTATGTACTTATGTGACTCTTCATCCTCTGGGTCATCTTCATGAGCTGCCACCTCTTTAGTGAACATGAGGTCATGATCAGAGATGCCAAACATCTCCATGGTGTGAAGGCGAGCGATGTGCTGGTCCAGGCTGGTGTCAGAGCGGCGGTGGTGTGCGTGCATTGCCTGTAGCTGCTGCTGAGTGGTGGACGAGCGGGTGTCTTCGAGTTTAAACACTTCATGCAGCTCCTGCTTACTGAAGTAACGAAAAGGGTTCTTCTTATCGCCGGTTGTCTGCCGGATGAGAGAGTCTTTAAACACCTGCAGATATAGGATGAAATAAAAATAATTACAACAATAACAAAAACAACAACAAATTAATAAATAATATCATTTTTTATTTTAAAGTTCAACAGTACTATTAGAAAAAAACAATACATGTATGTCTTGATTTTTTTTATAACAGAAATAATAATTAATATAATGAAGTTCTTGAAATGTTATAATTTATTATTATTATTATTATTATATTCAAAGTAATTGTGTTCCAAAAACAAAAGTGTGAATGTAAAATGGACTGACAGAATCACAACTGAAGTGGACTAAAAACAAACATGTATAATATGAATGTAAAGAGTACAGTTTTATTAGTTCATATTTTCTTTAAAAATTTTTTTTTTTTTAAAGAGAATACCCACACAACAACCTTAAAGAATGACTATTGGCAAAACATCCATATGGAAACATAAGGCATTGCTTGTTATTAGCAGGGCTTGAATTTTGTTTTTGAAAATGGGGGGGGAATTCCCCCTTTAGGTGGCTCTTATGGGGGGGATTTTTTTAATTTGAGGAGGGAGTTAGGGTATTTTTTTAGAAATATTTTTAAACTACAATCATCCAACCTAAATGTTTCGTCACCCAGTGTATTTGTGTTTTACAATTTATAATGTTGTTGATTCATATTTATATTGTGAAAAAGATACTTAAAAATAACTTTGAATTCAAACTCTGAATTGAATTTATTTTAATTAAAAAAAAGACAAGTAAACAGTCAGTAATAAAATAAGAATAGATCATAAATGACAAGCAATGGCACAAACAAATACAATAACAAGTTACAACTAAAATGAACTGTGCTTTAAGTTTTGCAGGTAAGTATAACAGTAATATTCAGGTACAGAATAAACATTAATGACAGACAGCAGCAGGTTTATTTAGGTTGCTGTCTCTTTAAGACCTCATGCACTAACTGTTACACATAAGTTTTGTTTCTCAACTGTTTACATTCGCTTAATAGCCTATTTACCGACAGTGTTTAGTATAAATCGACTGTTTACGTGAATACTCATCAAGACGGGCATTTATTTGGCCGTTTATATATTTGCAGGAATTTCCTGCGTTACAAGCGCGGAAACTGCGGGAATCAGTAGAATCATGCGCCGAAATTCAAGCCCTGATTAGTTTGTAGTTTTTGTACATCCTTTTGTGATTCA